TGCTATTTACAAGTGTCTACCTACGGTGCTAATGGAGGAGCAATTCTTTGCCCCTGTTACAGCCGTAGCCAGTTATCCGTCTAGCCACTAATAATTTGGAACGCATTCACTAGAACTGAGAGCATTAATCCGCATAATTCATCTCCCCTCCCCTTGCCCTCTCTCACCCTCCCCACCTCTCCCTCACTCATTCTACCCCTCCCTCTCTTTATCCCCCCCCCCCCCCCCCCCAAACCGATCCCTCTAAAAACGCAATTCCTGTACTACTACTGTGTAAAACCTTCTTTCTACCCGAACAGCATAGCGCCCGACCACGTCTGGAAACGACACCGTTTTTATCTTCAACGTTATCGCACGCGCTCCCGTAAGCCGCTCCCTGCGCTAAAAAACTCCCCCTGGCGGGCTGAGTCACCCGCTTCTAAAAATCGTTTTTCTCTTCTTTCGTCCTATGTCAAAAAAATTCAGCTAGGTGGTTTCGATCTCTTTGAAGTAAATCGTTATTCAACACTAAGTTTCAATTATGTCAAAAGTAAGTAAAACATGCATCCACTGCGTAAAAGTGTGATTTCTAATAGTAATTCGTACCGCTCGTTTAGTCTGAAACATGCATGCTAGCTCTGAGTAAGAGTAGCAGACAGCCCTAATCAACATCCGGTAGCGACGGAAATTGCCGAGAGGACCCGAAGTGTTGTTATTACAATGGCCGACTGACAGCTCTAGAGATGGAGATGCGTTTACTAATCGGCTAGTGTACTCGTGAGTTAGACATGAAAAAATACAAATTATGAGTTCTGGAGAGCAAGGAGCTGAAGGCGGAGGCGAAAAAGATGTGGAATACTACTATCGACCAGGTAAGATTTCTTGTTTTCGATGTGGAAGCGGCATCCATCATTTCGGCAGCATCTTTTTCGGACGGTTCCAGTGGCACTCGTCTGCTCATTCTGGCCCTCGGACAGCGGAACGGTGCCGCTGCCGTGATGGAAAATGGTGCCAGATGACTTTGTCTATGGTCGAATTGTTGGTTTTCGGTGTTCTTTCATCGTGTATTTGTTTTTTCATTGTGAGGGACTGCTATAGTTTAATTTTCCTTCTTTTTTTAAACAAAGAAAAGGAAACGGTGCCGTGAGAATGGGCTTATTCATCAGGCTCGGGGGAAATATATAGAGCAGTTACTTCCCTTGCTTTTCGGTCGAGCGTCTTGCTTGGGTGATTCTGTCTCGAATCCGTTTATCAACATGAGTTCAGCAGAATCATGAAGGCTACACAAGAGATAATCATTCATGTGTTAAAAATGACTTGATGTTTATATTTGGATTGCTGCAAAAGCTTTATGCTACCCAAATGTTGATCATTTGGCTCATAGGAGATGAGTTGGTCTGGTAGATCTAGATCTCGATCTAGCAGTAGATCTAGCAGTGGGAAAGACCTGTGTTCTCATCCGGAAGGTTCAGATCAGTTGAAAACTAAATCTGGTCATACACATTCACAGGGATGGACTGTAGCTACATATCGACACAACAATGTTGTTGTGAAATTTAGTGAGCATTACATTTTCAGTTTTCTCTGAGAGCTAATATGTCTGTGTCTCATTCTTTTGTAGTGTAGTCTTGTTGTTGTGACTGGATTTCTATTTTACGGCTAAGGTGGTGCGTTTAATGTTTTATAACTTGAGTTGTCATTTTTTTCCTTCTCACTACTAGATCTAGATCTACTTTAAACGCACCCCAATGCTAGATTCTAGATGTAAACATCATAGCGTCAATGTGTGAATACATTCCCTTCTCACAGTTTACCATTAGTAACTAGAGAGAGAGACAGTGCTCGCCTGAGAAGCTGACACTGACTGTACTGTACTGTTGTTAGATTAGTCTGTTAGTTTCTGCTACAGGCCTGTCACTGTCACTTTCTGAGTTTTGACCCTACCGTTCTTTATACTGACTACCACATTAAGTTACTTTTACGAGTTACTGTACTTGATCTCTGTATTTCTTAGTCTACTTACTTGGAGAACAAGAAAATTCTACTCTTATAAATAAAGGGCATCCACTTCCTGAAACTATTGGACCCTTTCTTTCTGTTATAATGTTACTATTGTAGTTACTTTAAAAAAACAAACAAAAGTAGGTATCACTGAATCTTTTGTATTTTCTACTGAGTTTGCTGAATAATGTTCTCTTTATAAGAGATTTGGCATTTAAACTTTCTAAAGTTCTTGGGCCCTCTATGTTCTCTTTCCGGACATATTGCCGCTTGCGCGAGTCCACATCCCTTGTGGACGTATCGCCGATATATCGGCTGTGATAAGGTGCCTCAGTATTGTTTCGTTTTAACTCGATCCGTCATATTGGTATTGAAAAACTCGGAAAGGATTTAGGGAACGAAAACATCAAGTTTCACTTTGTCAAATGTGGGTGTAGGGAAAAACTAGTGAATTTGTTCTTGCGGTCTTACATCAACAAAACGATGTAACTGGACTCAGTATAAATTTCATAACTCAAGCAAAAATTGGAATATTGCTTTCAAATAAAAAGCTGCGCATTCAGAAATTTATGGATTATGCTCTTGGCTTGTAATGATAAGATAGCTATGCTGATTTGCTTTCACATGTTTGGTGAATGTAATTTTTTCAGTAAAGATTTATTTTTCTCATCACCATCGCCATTTTTAACCCTTCTAATGCATACTTATGTTCAAAATTAATCCTTGTTTCATATTGGGATGTATTCCTCATTCAGTTTTCTTCAATTTGATATATCATATGTTACGTTTTGAGTGATGGTTATGCTTCTATGAAGTTATTTTGTACACAACCTGCATAGCCAAATCGAGCCACAAGTTAATTTTGTCTAAACCCCCCAAAAAACTACGCCCGGAAAGAGTTTAAATGATGATACCTTGAACTATTATAATGTGGTTGCTGTTTTCATTTGACTAAAATGAAGTGCCTATCATAATTTTATTGTTTTTGCTACCCAATTTTATTTTTGTTACAATGGCAATATTTTGTAGACTTAATAAAAGTCCTATAGGCCTATTCAGGAGGCCTAGTCCAATAGTGCAACCTATAATGTTTTGTTTTTTGTAGATTTGTAGGCTACAGCAATCAAAATACAAATTTATTTTACTAGAAGGCAGAAAAAAGCAGTAATGTAGCATTTTTTTTAGGGCTTTAAAAAACTGAAGACTTTTACGTCAATTCTTAGGGAAGAGATAAGAACACAATAGCAAAAAATTGTAGACCTTAGGCCTACAGATTGTAGGCCAAATGACTCAAGTGCACTGTCATTCTCTGTGGTTTGAATAAAAAGGTGTAAAATTATATTGGCTCTGCTCTGTGATAAAAATTACTCAAAGCCGACACCTGTCATGTGTTCAGTATTATAACTTAAAATACCCACAGGTTAAATAATTAGGTTGCTCTTTTGTAGGCCTATGCATGTCTGTTGTTTGAAGAGTCAAATTCGATTACATGACTCAATTTCTAATTCAGTTGTTTTTGATGCTTCATTGAGTGTCATAGGGAAGACATAATAATATATATTTGTTTTGTTGAAATTTATCTATCTCTATTCTAGCCTGAGTGTAGGTCATTTTAGAGGCAAGAGCACTTCCCTTTAAAAAAAATACTGGGCTCTTGGGATTATTTTCCCAGAAAGGACACCGACAATTTTGACCTGGCTTTGTTGTTATCTGCCAACTTCTTTTCATTTTTTTTTACTGGCTGTGTTCATTACCATTTTCACTACAGCGGCAGACTCAGTCATGATCACTGTCTGTAAAAAAAATATTTAATCCCTTATGATTAATTCATAATTTGTATAATGATTCTGGGCTTGACAATTAATATTATATTACGGTGGATCCATCTGTCTCATAATTTTTTTTTCCTCTGAAGAATCATTATTCTTTGACATTTATCGCTTCGTTTTTAGCTTTCCTCTGTTTTTTTTATTCTAAGCTTTCCCATAAAATTCTAATTGATTCTGTTCTTTTGTCTATGGACAAAGAGGTTGATACATTCTTGAATGTAAAAAAGAAAAAAAAGTCTCTTACAACACTCTTGTTGCTTTGATATTGGACATCTTTTGACACTGATCTGTGACTCTCCCTGTGCTGTATTATGGGATTTATTCCGCTTCAATCATCACTGAGAATGTATTAAACTATGATGATGTCACCCTTGTAAAATAGTGTTGCTGATGGAGCTGCTCTGGCTGAGTTTGTAAACTAGCCTAGTGGAAAATATTTTTTGTGGGTAAAGAGTTTACCTCTGCAAGTTATGTTAAAGGGATCTGAAGATCTTGCTGAATTACAGTCTATCTTTTTAAGATTTTATGTTTATTTTTTCATGGTTTGATGTACTCTGCTTTTTACAGAAACTTTTCTTTTGTTTTATGGTACTTTTTGGTTGCATGGAAATGGTACACTGGAATCGAGACTTAAGTCTTTAAGAAACTGAAGGAGACTGTCTTAGTTCAGTGTTAACAATATTCTGTGAATAGATCTTTGCAATTTTTTGAAAATGAGAGAATCAGATCACCATTTCAGCTGTCAGAATTAGATTTAGTTTTCTTTAAACTGTTTTTACCTTTCCCTTTCCGTGTCCTTGTTAATTTTTTTTTTTTTCAAAGTCATGCACCAAAACTCTTTGATGTATTTAATGCAAAATGAAACTCAATGGAATTGCTGGTGTACACCTCTTGAATTACCCTGTGTATGACTCGACTAGTGCTATTGGAATGAATGTAATGATAATGATTTTTAAATTCACTTGAAATTGTCCAAGACGGCCACTTAATGCAGAGGAGAAAAATGCCTTAGACAGGTGGATGTGTTCGACAGTGTCATTTACATTTTCTTTAACAAGTGGCAGTCAGGGAAGGTTCGACTGCATACTCTGTTAAAAGGTAGGAATTATACTGACAGTTTGTTTTTGTTACCCAAAGTCAAAGCTCAGCTTTCGCTTGCAAATGAGGAAATTTATTTCTTTGTCTGTTTCGACATACTAAAACTTTTCGACTGAAAGTGTTGTTTACTGATGAGTGTATCATTTCAAAACATGATTGAATGAATAGTGTGAACTTTAAAACCAGTTTTTTTTGCTTTTTTTGGGTGAGCAAACAGAAGATGATTATCTGATGTTCAATTAGGCCTTTATTTGTTTATTTTTTGGACTTATTAGAGGAGAGACGCTGACAATTTAGTTTGGTTGTTATGTCAGTTACCCTGTTTTCAAGCGAATTTGCCATTCTAAGATTAAAGTATTTGTTTGACAAAAACCTGTAAAACTTACTGTCAGAGTTATTACATGCTTCTTGGGAAAAATTATGGATATTGCTGGAAATTTGTCATATTAGTTGTTTGTTTTTTATAGGCTAAATTCTCTCTTGCCAAGGGAATCAGAACAATGCAATCTTCCATTCTTATAGCTATGGTTTAAAGGAAAATAATAATAAAAGGGGCAGTGATCATAAAAGGGCTCTTGTGGCTTTCAGTGCTTATTGTGATTAGTGAGATATGTTAATATTCAGAAGCAGTAGGAACAGTTTGAGAGGTATCGTGAAATCAAGTTCTCGTCAAAATAATGAAATTGAGGAGACCAATATTTTTCCTCCGGTTTAACAATTTTTATCAATTTTTTGTTTTGGCCTCTGCCTTTTATGTTCACTTTAAAACACATTTCTGCATGGATTTTCTGGAAAAAAGTTGATCTAAGGCACAAAAATGTAATTTTGCATCTTCCCCGGACACCACAGCTTTGAAAGTTGCCATACTTTGGCGGCCGTTTTAAAAATAATTCTACCTCACACCAGGAGACCCCTGCCCACCTCTTTCAATCAGAAATATTTCGACTTCTATTCATTCAAGATACATAATTTTTGCTTTCATCAAAAGCAAGGCAAATGAACAAGCTTTAAGTGTAAGATGCTTCCAATAACTCCTTCTATATGCACAAAAACTGAGGGGTGCCTGATTCCACCACATCATGACACATTTGTTAAAAAATAAATTTGCCTTTGTTCAAGTGTTTGCTTTTTATCTGCTAAAATACAAGGAAGTCTGGGTATGAATAGTTTAGTCGGGGACACACAGCTACAGCAGAACTCAGGGAGATCAATGGCATTGTCATATTTCAGACAGAAATGATGCACGGTGCTTGTGTTATTTTAATTATTTGTCAAAATAAACTTATTAGATAAGACAAAACTGAGCAATTCATCAGTCAAACATGTACCTTAGTTTTGTAAAGAAATAAATTAATCTCATGCTTTATTTACCAATAATTTATACAGATGTATTTGTGAGGCATCATGGTGAAATCGTTGTTTTAGTATTGTTTTACGGCACTCACAACTGCATAAAAGGTCATATGAGCGCCATGGTGAAATCAGGCGCTCGTCAAAATAATGAAAAGGAAGAAACAGGCATTTTTTCCTCAGTTTGGCAATTTTGTTTTTTTGGCTCAACACCTTTTATGTCCACATAAACACACATTTCCGTGTGAATTTTACTGAAAATCATTGATTTAGGGCTCAAAATATAGTACAATTTTTCAGTTTTCTAGGGCTCTCAAGCTATTGAAGTTACCAAACTTGGTTGCCATTTTTCGCTAATTTTACCTCTGACCCCCACCTCCTTCAATCGCAAATATCTTGACTTGTATTGATGATAGACGGGTAATTTTTCATTGAAAGCAAGACAAATGAACAAGTTGTAAGACGACACCGAAAGCTCCACTTGCCGAAAAATTGATGAGTGCCTGATTCCACCATGCCATAACACATTTGTACATATAAATTAAACGATAAATTAAGTATGTTTTAGGGTAAGAACTCATTGTATCTTCTACTTGTAGTGCAGTCTTTAAGTTTTCCAAAGAGATGAGTTATATAACAAGGAACAGTTGTTCAACCTTTCTGTGTATGTCTTGCTTTCAGGAGGTAGACGCAATGATGGGTTGAAAGCAGCGGACATTGTTCATGTGTTGCGGGAGAGGGTGGCCTACCTGTCAGGTGAGTTAACTACCTTGTACATGGTGTCATGTTGTTAATTATTTTGAGGGGGATGGGGGCTTGATGTTGGTTGTCTTTCTCTTTTTGTCTTGCTGTTGACCATATATATGTGATGTAGGAGGATTAAAATATTGGTTAGGTGATTTGTTTGACTGGGTCTCATTTTGGCACCTTAGAGAAAGGGCACCAGATTTGTGTTGTAGCAGTTTTGGTGCTTCGTCATCACGATTCCCATAATGGTGAGGTTTTTTTTGTGTGGAGTATATTTCCGTTTGTCAGCTGGGGCTTTTGTACCATGTACTTGTATAAAGGCATAAGGAAATAGCCCGGAGTCTGATCCCATCTAGCAACAGGTTTTTTTTTTCTCGTGTTATTCTTTACCCCCTAATCCAAGGGTGGGTAGGATGGAGTACCTAGTCTTCTTGGATAAGGACAAATAATTTCATAGGTCCCAAATGGAAGTTCCAAAGTTCTACATGTGAAAGATCTCTTGGTAGTTTTAAAATAAAAAAGAGTTGGCTGAATTTCAAAATTCACCCCTACCCAAAAATGAAGTCGTTCTAGCCTCTGTAAATAGCATGTGGCTGCTTTTTAGGTGAGGGATGATTCTCTACGTTCTCTGTAGATAACACGGCCATGTACGTGTCGTAAAAATCCACTGCACTGTGAGATGGAGATCTTACAGTCAGTGACTCTCTGAGCTCTAACAGGGAAGGAGACATTTTTTTTAAAATCTGAGAGAAATATATTTGAACTGGGGTCCTTCAGTTGTGGAACTTACTGACAAATTTTGGCCTGACAGTTACTGGAAAGGGCTATTCAGTTGTGCTGTGTCCAGATAATGCTACAAGTCAAGTGTCTAGGCCCCAGCACTATCTTGAGGGTGCACACAGTATTTATTACTGGGTGTCTAGGCGCATGGTCAGTGCACCCTGATGACTTTTGAGGTTTTGCCGTTTTTTTAATTTTAGAAGATTAGTTAAAATTTATTCTTGGTTGAAGGTCCAAACCCTCTTATTATAAGGGTTGTTGACAATATAAGTTCTTTTTTTCCCAAGAAATGTCTACACAGTTGGACAAGTCATTGGACAATATTTGTTCATCAATAAACTGGTCTATGGTGACATATTTATCCACATTTATCTCATTTTTCTCCACATTTATCTCTTGATTTGTGCGTTTCTGTGCTTAATATACTGTGGTATCTGTCATCCTTGCAGGTGGGCGAGACAGACGTGGGGGTCCCATCCTCACATTTCCTTCCCACACTCATCCTGAAAGGTTGAAACATGATGATCTACGGCGGCTTATGACTTACTTAGCCAGTGTGCCAAGGTAAGGTGGATAGATGTTGAGTACAGTTGACCATGACAATAGCGGCACCCGCTATAGCGGGACCTTACCCGGAATCCCCCCTTTTTCCCCCTATATAAACTCAATTACTTATGCTTGGATATGGTGGGGGCAAGGAAAGTCCCGAACTCGGATACAACAGGAGAGATCGAGCGGTCTCTAGCTGTAGGGTGGAGGGGGGGGGGGCACAGGCAGTCAGCGGTGTGGCATTCTGATTGGCTAGTTCAGTGATGAGTGAGGTGGGGCAGGCGGTAGGCGGAGAGACGCGTTACGTGAACCACTCCCAAAGTGATGTTGATCTATACAGTAGAACATGACTATAGTGGCACCCGCTGCTTTTTTTTCTATACTATGCAAACCCAATTACCTGTGCTCGGGTTTAACAGGGCAAGGAAAGGCCCGAACTTGGATACAGCGAGAGAGATGGAGCGAGCTCTAGCTATGGGGAAAGGGGTTGGGAGGTGGGGGTGCTGTAGGCGGGATCAAAACCCCCAGTCAGCGATGCGGCATGGTCATTGGCCTGTCCAGTGATGAATGAGGTGGGGCAGGCGGCAGAAAGATATGGTGCGGAGAGACGCGTTACATTAGCCTCTCCAAAATTTAAAGTGATAGGCCATAGCCCTAGCCTAGGCCAAAAAGTGAAAGAAGAGGAGAGTGTATAGTGTGTGATTCCTGATTCATTGAATTGCGATTGTTGATGCTCGGGCATACGCACGCATCCACTTCACCAGTTCTACTGTAGGCCCATCAATACGATAGACAGCACAAGCAACTGACCGAATAAAATATGTTTTACAACAAAGATTAAAGGAAAGGAAATGCTTCTCACTTGAATTAAAGGCCGAGATAATCAAAGAAGTTGACAAGAAAAGGAATACTAATCTAAAGCGCAAACTTTACTGATATGGAAGGGATTTAATCATGTGAATTTTTCAAAATTACTAGTTAATTTCCCCTATTCACTCATATAGCGGGAACCCGCCTACAGCGGGATTTTTATTCTGGAGCCAAGAGTCTCGCTATAGCCGTGTTCTGCCACATTTACTGTCAATGTCCTGCTTGAAGTGCAGCCACGTAAAGTCTGGCATCGGCACTTATATGATGTGCTGCAAGTGCAGTAAACTATGACTAAAACTGGAAGTCGGGCACGAGACATATTTGTTGTAGAGAATAATATAATAATAATAATAATAATAATGATAATAAATGAATTTATAAGCGCAGGAATCCACAAAAAGGGCTCGGTGGTGCTAACAACACACACACACACACACACACACACACATACACACAAATGCTGTAAAACTCAGTACCACTACGGCATGCATAAATTTACAGATATTTCAGATTTAGAGTTCCAGCGTTATAAATGTACTTTTCTGAAAAACATTTTCTTCAACTTTGATTTAAATTGATTAATCTCTGGTCTGTGTTTACTTCCAGCATATTCAAGTGTTTTAGTCATTTATTGTCCCTGTTGCTGCCCAAGATTAGGACAGATTAATGAAGTAGACTTGAATTTTGACAAGTGATGAATTTATTTTAGACCTTGATTTTATTCTGGTCTGGGTTGTTTTTTTTCATGTAAATTAAAAACTCATGAAGTGATATAAATGGACTTTTTTACCATGGTTTTTTAAATTGCTTCTCTTCATCCCACTTTCAAATGCTGTGTGCCTGCCTGTGTAGTGATGAGGTGCGCGACAGAGGCTTTACCATGATCCTTGATATGAGAGGGACCAAATGGGAGACTGTCAAGCCAATTTTGAAAGCCTTGCAGGTGAGTTTTACGATATCAAATCCTTGTCCTCATAAAATGTCTGGATAGAGCAGTGTGTCTATCAGTATATATTGTTAGCAAGCTTTTTCTCAAAGGCCAGAAAGCCAAATTTTCCTGAAAAGAAATTTTTTTAAATTATTTGAACAATTTCCAAGATTATGTATCTTATTTTTCCTAGCTTTTCTCAACTTTAAGAGTCTTAAGAATCTGAATTTTGAAAATATTTCTCGAGCCCAGGCACCAATATCACAGATTATGACACTTGGGGGAGTCAGTTTTAGACTTAATACATTTGAACTGCTGGTGAGCGATATATCACGAAGGATCTTCAGTGGGTTTTAGTATGAGGTTAGCTGGTTAAGTCTCATGCACAGATTGGTTCTTACTATCTGTCACTTTTTTTAACTTTGTGAAATAAAATTGTACAGGTTAGCATTGTTTGATGAAAGAGCTGCTCCAACATCATCACTGTTGTTGGTGTTGGGCCATTGAAAAATAGGTGATCCATTTTTTGTTTAAAATTATTCTCACGGATGGTCTTTAAGGGAGATGATAGTTCCCCTACACACAAATTCATGTAATCAACTGATTACTGGGAAAATAAAATATGATCAAAAGCAATGTCTTTCGGAAGAAGAAAGAGGAACCCACTATTTTTTATACTAAATAGTACAGTTGTGAGCACTTTAGTGTAACTTGAATTAGACCAGGGAGAAAGCTGGTTTGGAAAAATTTGCTTAAAAATATGAAGAGATATGGCGCAAAGAAGATCACCTAGTATCTTTTTTTGCTCTTCCGCCATGCTTTGCTTAGGGTGCAAAAGCATTGTAGAACAAAAATAGACAAACGTATTTTCAATGTCCATAAGACATTCTGAATGCTAAGTATTCTGGCAGCTTAGTTGTTTTGTAATTATTACTCAAGTTGTTTTGAAAGAAATGGTCATAGATTCATCAGTGCTTTTTTTTCTTGACTTTCTGTTAAAAATGGTTCTCATTAAAATTAAAGGGATGGAAATTTTCCTGTTTGTATCTAGAGTCACTTTTTTATGGTCTTTCTTGAGGTTTTGTCAGACATTAAATTTTAATCTCCAAGATAAAAAATGTCACCTTTACTGTAACAATGCTTATTTTAATATCCAGGTTGCCATAAATTGGTACTAAGAGAACATAGACGTAAAATGTTGCAGTTTTTTAGGGATATCTCTCTAGAAACATCTCCTGGGGCCCTGTGATGTTTTCCAGTTTTTACAAAATTAGATGCCTACTTTATCCCTAAAATTAGCTGTGGGCCTCTTGCTCATGGGAATCAGAATCAATATTGTCAGAAGTTATCCTTGTTATGAATTCAAACTGTTGTGTTTTCCTGCCAACACAGTATGATATTGTTCTTTCTAGCAATTGACTTTTGTTACTGAGCAAGCAAGACATATTATTAAATAATGACTATTTTTTTTGTTAGGAATGTTTCCCTGGAAACATCAATATGGCTTTCATCATCAAGCCAGAGAAATTCTGGGAGAAACAGCGAACAAGTTTAGGCAGCTCAAAGTATAACTTTGAGGTAAGTAGACAAACTGATAGTGTAACTGCAATAGCCAGCTGTCCACTTGTGTGTGTGTTTGTGTGTGTGTGTGCGCGCGCACATGTGTGTGTGTAGTGTGTGTGTGTGTGTCTGTAGTGTGTGTGTGTAGTGTGTGTGTAAGTGTGTGTGTGTCTGTCTGTGTGTGTGTGTGCCCGTCTGCTTGTGTGTGTGGGTGTGTGTGTGTGGTCCGTTTAATTTGTGGGTTATTTGTGTCGGTGTGTTTGTGTAGTGTTTATACCTATGTGTATGAGTGGGTGTGTATGTGTCCATGTGTGTGTGTATGTAAGTATATTGTATGTCTGTTTGAGTGTGTGGGTGTGTTTATGTTCATACTTACTTGTGTGTCTATGTGTCTTTTGGGAGGGTGGGGGTGTGTGTTAATTTTCATGCATGTGTGTGTGTGTTGGTGTCCATGTGGGGTGCATGCATGCGGTGTGCAGGCTCATGCACTTCAGCTTCAGCTGTTCTACTGACTTTTCTCAGGAGCCTAAAACAAGTAAATGTAATTCCCAAGCAAGTTAATTTTGTTGATGTGACAAATGTTTTGTCTCTGGGTTTTTTTTTTTTTTAAATTCCTTTTTATAATTTATGGCTTTGCTTTTCCCCACACACAAGCAAGAGCAGCATTTTTTACTTGTGACTGGTTTGCCTAAGGTTGAATAAAGTTGGTGGGTGGTTGGCGGGTGCTCTGGTGTGGTTTGCTCCTTCTTTCCTATCGAACATCTATCGTTCTTATCTCTCCTCCTTCTTTCTTGTGTTTGTTACTGTCTTGTTACATCTCTAATCTTCGGCACTTATATGACTTTATTGTGTTGCAAGTGCCATAATACTCTTACTAAAAATTTTTTTAAAAAAGTTGCTTTAGAAGAAAATTGGTTAAAAAAGGACGGAATCTAAACCAAAATCATACATTTTTTTTTCGGAATGAGCAGGCGTTGCTGTAGAAAGGCTAAAAAATGAAGATATGCTTGACTAAATAGATGTCTCCCATTGTTCTTTTTTCACTTTAGATTGATGAAAATATTGTTTCTTAGTCTTATGTGGTTGAGTTTCTGCCTCCCATTATGTTGGTTCTTTGGTTTTTAAGTGTGAAGTTTGAGACTCTTATTTCTTTTCTTTGCAGACCAATATGATCTCATTGGATAACTTGAACAAAGCCATTGAGCCAAATCAGCTGACACGGGAGTTTGACGGCACCTTGGACTATGACCATGAGCAGTGGATACAACTCCGACTGGTACGGTTTTTGTTTTTAAAAATCTTTTTTTTTAACTCTTTATCTCCGGTAAGCTGCTCCCAGCGGCTGGTGGTCTGAATCGCTGTGCCGTTGAGCCGATGACAGTGGCTTGGGCACATTCCTTTCCGGTGACTTCGACATCATTTCCGAAAACAGGTCTCTTTTTATCAGAAGTTCATTCATTAGATGAAGAACTATCAAAATAAGTTTGCTAGTTTCGATTTGATGACCCAAATAATGATGTGTTTGTCATAATTAGCTATGGCACCAAAAAAGGGCCCCGGCGTAGTGGGTTTGCCCCTTTTGGAGGTAAAGAGATAATGTAGGTGTTTTTACGCCCTCATTGCCACAATTTAGATCATTCATGGGCGGCCTTCCAACCCTGTTTGTCTGGGCTAACCTAGCTGAGAGGGATACAACATCTTTACAGAAAGCCAGAGATAATTGATTAAAACTCCCCCCCACTCGGTAATTGAACTCAGGTCTCCCGTGTGCGACAACGAAATGCAGAACTGCTACACCACAGAAGCTGGTATGCCTTTTGTAGCATTGCGACTTGAGTACAATTTTCATGTCCCATGCTCTTTGGGGATTTAGTTTGGAGGTGCTTTTTGTTTTGCTTGGTTTTGTCTATTTTCTAAACATTTTTGTCTGTTGGTCTTTTTTCTGAGCACTCTAATTGCTTGCCATCGAATCCTTTTTTAGAATACTGTTTTATCTGACAGTCAAATCCTGACATTGACGCTGGCCCAGCAGAAAACAAGTGTTCTGTGTGTGGACTATTTTTCTAAAAAAGAAGAGTGTTTGAAAGTCGCAAGTGAAGCCATAAGAAGGTTGAACCTACTAACCATCGGTATAAGCAGATAAGCACACCACTCTAGGAAAGGGACAGACACTGCTATCTGCAGTCTCTCTCTCTCTCTCTCTCTCTTCTGGCGCTGTGGCTTCATAAACAGTCAGCGATGCCGACAGCATGCAGGAACTCAACACTCGCCCGGGGGTCCTTAAAAAGTGCTGAAAGTGGGTTACTGAAATGTCTCAGCAAACGGGTTCTAGCATGATAGCTGGCGGGACATCTCAGGAACACATGGTCCATAGTTTCGTCCTCCTTGCAGGCTCGACAGGATGGATCTGAGTTGTCTGCTGGCGCAATTTTGTGGAGAAATGATCTCAGCTTGGGCGATTTTCCACCAGTTCTCATTTGCTATCTGCAGTGATCATAATGAGCTGCATGCTATCATTTTCTTTACCTCTCTCTCTTAACTATGCTACATCCATCATCAGTTCATGATGGACAAACTGTTACTATTATTGTTATAGTTATATTAAATGGCCACCATTTTATTACAATCTTCCTCTCGTTTACTCCGGCATGCCTGTAAACAGGTGTTCTTTTTGCTCTTTAGTTGATTGAGAGTACTTTAAAAAAGAGGCATAACTTTCTTGTGTTTATACTAATTTTTCAGTTCTGTTTTCCTTATCTGAAACTTTAAAATGGTAGGCAACAACATGCATACTATGAAATATGCAAAGTTGTGTTTCTGATTTGTGTATGATGGTTCAAAATTTGCTAGAACATTGCCTTTTGTCTGCTGCTGATCGACATATATGTATCCTCTACATCCCCAAAGAGTTTTGAAAAATTGATGTTTGTCGTGTTTGTTCACTGAGGTGGTACAGGTGGAGTAGGGAGAATGTGTGCCACTTTCCGTGACCTATGTGTGTGGTTGGTGGGTACTCTGGTGTGGTTTGCTCCTCCTTTCCTATCAAACATCTATCATCCTTATCTCTCCTTCCTTATCTTTGTATGTTACTCTCTTGTAACACCTTTTATCTTCGGCACTTACATGACCTCATTGCGTTGCAAGTGTTGTAAAACTTGTTTTATAACTTTAAAAAAACCCTCAGACCTGCTCTTCCTTTTTCATCTTTCCCTTCTATCTGCAGTTCCTGCCTTCCCGGGCCGTTTTTTTCCTTATGGCTGCTGTTCTTTGATTGCCTTTAGATTATAGGTCTCAATCTCAGTTTTTTATTCTGTTTTTATTAAACAATATCGACTGTATTGGCCTGTTTCAGATGCTGGAAGAATTCATCTGGAAGGCCTTGGACCTCCTGGACAAGCTGGATGAGCTTGGTGAGATCTTGACCAACCCGGAGCTACCGGACGATCTGAACGGTGCCCAGATGGTGCTGGAGGAGCACAACCATCTGAAGAAGCGAGTGACCATGGCCCCCGTGGAGCAGCTGGCCATGGAGGGACACCAGATCTTACAGAGGATCACCGGGGAGTACAGTGGTCAGTGTTTGTGGGCTTTTACATCTGTGTCAGTTTATTCTGGACAGTAAGAGTGGTACAATAGAGTGGTTGATTTTATTATTGTGTTTTTATTTTTGTCAAATTTGTGTTAGTTTTTACTGGTGAGTAGTGATCATTTTCTTGGGGTGTTTTTTTAAATTTCTGTGTCTGTCACTACTGCAGAATAGAGTGGCTAGTTTTTTTGGTCTTTTTTTCTGTGTCAGTTTTTACGGAAGAGTAGAGTAGTAAGTGTTTTGTCTGTTTTTATTTTTGTATAAATTTTTACCTGAGAACACTGTGTTCAATTTTTGTTTTTTCTTACTTCTGTGTCCATTTTTACTTGGCTTAGCACTACGAGTTTTTTTCTGAATTTGTACCTGGAAGTCAACAATGGAAGGCAATTTTCAATAAGAAAGATTTTCGCTTGTTGCAGTCTTTTTAGACTGAATTCACCTTAGTACGTCTGTATGACTTAGCATGAGGTGACTGAAACTGAGGCATAGTGACGTAAAGTGTTTCCCTACACTGAACCAGCTGGAAAGAGTGGGATTTTAATTGCATTTTCAGTTTTCTAAGGGTCCTTTATCTTTGAGAGAATATCATTGTAAAAGTAGCTGTGTTATAATTCAATTCATTATAATTGTTTTTTGTGTGAGTTAAACATTATCATTGAAAGAAAAGTTCAGCAATTATTTTGTTACTCAGTGAAAGAAGATTATTGTAAGCTGCTGTATTTTAACATAATGTATTATATAATGTAAAAACATTATCATGGAAAGAAAATGTGAGAAATTGTTCTGTTTTACTATGTATTCCAGGGACGGGTGGTCGGCGTTATGTGATATCTGGCAATGCAGACTTCCAGTCAGCAGTGCCACAAATTTCTCAGCTGCTAGATAATCTGCAGTCTACAAAGCAGCATCTGAACCAGCTGTGGAGTGTCAAAAAAATGAGATTAGAGCAATGTTTACAGCTACGCATATTTGAAGAGGATGTAGAGAAGGTGAGAGTGTTGCTTTGTTCTCATATTCTTTTTGTAAAATTCTTCTTGTGCTCAGCTGTACAACTGGTTTCTGTGTGTTACACTGTGTATGGGTTGGTTGAGTGCTTCATTGCTGCTCCTAGAAGGTGCGTTTGATTTAGTGTGGAATGACATTTTATTGATTGTCTCTGTCGTCTTTCTGCCAGTATGTCAGATCCCTTTCAGCTCGGGATGGCCTTATCAGACATGATCGAAGCAACCTGTGTTCTTAGTGATTTAAATATGGTGTGGATTGGGGTGTAATACTTAAACAACAGTTTTTTCAGCTGTACATCTTCGAAAGAGGTTTTGTAGAAAGGGAGATTTGTGTGAGATTTGTTGTTGACTTTGACACAATGAAGAAACTTGAGGGTGTTTGACTGTTTTAGGTGATAATTCTAGTATTCTAGTAAATATCTTAGGGTGGTAGGTTTCTTCACCATTCTTTTAGCATTGTATGTGAGAGAGGAGTGATTGATAGGGTTGGGTCGGGCTCGTAAAATTTTACAAAAAGAGTAACGAACTACTCGCTGGCACCACCCGCAAATGAGCGGACGGGTAACAAACCGTCTGCTTGTGAAGAGTAGTTCGCTTCTCGCTACTCGCTACACATCGGAGAGAGACAACAGTTCGTTTAGCTAGCGAACGAGCGGACGGGCGGACCGAGAGACTCCATGCATTCGAGCGGGCGGACAGACGAACAGGGGCGAGTCCTTCCATTGCATACAACTAACAACCCCCCTCCCCCCCCCCCCAAAAAAAAATTTAATTAAAAAAATCACCCTCCTGCCTCACATTGTAGCTAGGCGTTCATGGCAGAAATTTCTCTCCCCCCCCCCCCCGGCCTTTGCGATAATTGGAACGTACACAGTGTGCCCACACACGAGGTGAAGGGTTACACACGTAGTACTACGTCACCAGCCTCTCTCACTCCCTGGGGCACCGCTAGTGGTTTGAAACATTAGGCCTAATTAACAAACAATAGACCGTGAGCCTATCTCGTCTACTAGAGTTCGCCTGTTTGCCCGCCTGCCCAGTGAATAAAATTGTGGAGCGGACCCAAAAAACGAACTGACTTGAGGCTTGAGGTCCGCAGTCCGCTCGCTGAGAGAGTCAAATTGTAGAGCGGACCAAAAAAAACGAACTGTCTTGAGGTTCGCAGTTCGCTCTCATGGCCGTCCGTTACCCGCTCGCTCTGACTGAGTCCGCGAGTAACGAACCCGTCCGTCCGCTCGCCCCAACTCTAGTGATTGGCCAATGATCATATATCTCATATGGAAAAAATTATAAATCCTAAGCTTATACAGGATTTTGTCTAAGTTTTTATGGATATTATAAACTTATTAAAAAAAATATACATATTTGTATTTTTCTGTCATCAGATGTTTGAGTGGATCAGTCACAACAGAGATCTGTTTCTAGTCAACTACACAGAGATCGGGACCTGCCACCAGATGGCAGTGGAGCTCGAGTCGGAACACTGCCAGTTTGCCACCAGTGCTGAGGTAAGGGCAACTCTGTGGCTGTATGTGGGTCCCTACAAGAACAGTCTAACCTGCTCTTACAGCTGCCCGTCCAAGACTGTCACCTGTACAAACGATCGCTTCTTACTCCGCCCCCCCCCGCATTATTTCTATATTGTAATGACATTGTTCAAGACGTCCACCTTTCTAAGACAATCAGTGTTTTCATTTGCAGTGGGTAGCCATGTTGGACAATTTCAACTGTACTTAATCGATTTCGTGTTTCATTTAGAAATGACTGAGCTGGATTATGTTTCTAGTTAAAACAAAGATTGAAGTTCTTCCTGTTTCAGATTTGTTTTCCTGTCTCTCATGAAGGTCTGTGTTAAGTTACCCATGAGTGATGTTTCCTTTGGTTTGTCATCTCTGCCTTTGTTCCTGCTGTGGTTTTTTTCTTCTCAACTTTTTCAGCTTGGACAAATACTTTGTTTGTGTAATATCATTTTGCATATAGTAGGGCATCACACTTTAATAAGAGGGTGGCTGACAGGCACTCTGATGTGATTTGCTACATCTGTCATATCGAACATCTATTGTCTGTATCTTTCCTTCTTTTTTGTCTTTGTATGTTACTGTCTCGTAAAGTGTAATCTTCAGCACTTGTATGACTTAATTTATGTTGCAAGTGCTGTAAAACCTGTACTAAAACTAGAAAACTATACACTCAAACAAAAGAAAAGGTACATAAGGAAACAAAATCTGTTTCATTCTTTGCTTCAGAATGTGTACGTCAACATTACGAGGATCCTTGGTATGGCCCAGCGTATGTGTGACTCAGGTCACTATGCCTCCAATACTATTAGAATGGAAGGAGGGAAACTGGAGCGGGAATGGAAAAGTTTGGCAGCTGCCCTCGAAGACAGGAGCACGGTTTTACGCATGTCTGTCGTCTTTCACAAGAAAGCAGAACAGGTAAGCGATGTCTGCAATCTTTTTGGATAATGCAGAACAGGTTAGCAAGATCTTGTCATTGTTTATTTTTAAAAAACCCAGAGACAAGGTCTGTGAGATTTGTCCTTTTTCATTTACCCCCCCCCCCAAAAAAAAGCAACATGTTATAAATATTTGTCTGTTTTCATTTTAAAAAACCCAACAAAAACCCAACAAACCAGGCGTGTAAAGTCTGGCACTTTTGTTATATAATCAAAACCAGTTTATGTGGCTAAACTAGCTGCCTTTGACAGAAAATAATCTGAACATCTTGACAGTACTGTTATTTTGCAACTCTGACTGCATGATTACAAAGGTAAAAGAATTTTAAGATAATTTTTGTTGCTTCCTTTGATGGAAGATTGGCTGGACTTCCAGCAGGTCTGTAGATGAAGAATATGTTTGTTGTTATCGATCCAGGAAGAATATGTTTCTTTTGTAGACTCTTTAAAGTTTAGATCTAAATGGGTCCCGTCCTGTCTATAAAAAAGTAATTGAAAGAAAGTAATTTTTTTGTTTCTCAAGTGTTTTTATTTCCACTGCTTTGAAGTCAAAATTCTACAAGGGCTGTAAAAAAAAAAAAGCTCAAGTGTGGGTTTAGAATTACAATTAGGTAACGTAAACACGGCGTCACGGGCACTCGCAGCCTTCCGAGCGCGTGGTTTCCGTGATATAGGGGTAATTCAGATGACTGTTACTTTGCTCTTTCACTATCAAACACCAATTGCTGGACACCTTGTAAAAGTTCAGCTTTTCCTCATTACAATGGTGTAAGTTGTTTATATGTCCGATTATTAGAAGCTGGAGAATCGTCGTGGAAAGCGTAGCCCCTCGCAGTCGGAATGCGTGGTCGGCCGGTTCAAAAATTGACACGCGTGCATTCAAATGCTTTGCAAAAAGATTGATGATTAAATACTATCTTTTCATTGGCGGAGAACTGTAGAGCTTTGAAAGGGCTTTCCCGTGGTATATTTTTGGCCTTTGGCTTTTAAATAGAAAGCCTTTAAAAATACCGTCACTCATGATTTCAAAGATAATTTTTTATGCGAAATATGTAAAATACCGGCTCACGGTACCATTAGAAAGATCTGTTCATTTTCTATTAAAATGAAGTAGTCGGCTTGGAATTATTTTGTATCAATCATTCCGCGAAGCTCGGAAAGCATGTGACCCCCGCATGAGGAGCACTCAGTACACTACAGTATAGAGCCGATTTGCTCGCCATGGGGGCCGGTGCAGCGCCGGCCAGGACAGCGCTCGGCGTTTTTGTTGAAATAACGACAGATCATCGTGTTTGAGGCGATAAAATACTGATTTGTAATGATATCACAGTCTTGAAAAAAATTAGGCTCCATATCTATGTTATACTGATTGTACTCTGTTAATGTGGAGATGTTTGGTGCTCTTGGTACTCTTTTATTGTCTTTCATATGTGGGGTTGCAGCCAGTTAGCGACTTAAGCAAATTTGATCATATTTAAAATAGCTACCCTTTTCATAAAAATTGACTGAGAGGTTAAAGAATGGTATCAAAATACTCTGGAGATATAGGCCTTTCATATGGAACAGATAAATATGGCATACAGCTACTTTGAAAGTTTAGTGTCTGGTACCTATTTCAATACAAATTTTGTAAACTGGCTGTTCATGTGTGGTATTATCAGATGTTATTCGCAGCTGACCCTTCAACTCTTATACAAAGGGTACTCCTCCAGGGTTGGGTTGATTTAAATCGGGTCGCTTTAAATCAGTTGATTTTTAAAATTTAAATCAACTTGATTTTTAAGATAAAAATCAGTGATTTAAATCACTTTAAAAAAAATTATTTTTATTCAGTTTTTACATATTTCAACATTCAGAATTCCTTTCCTTGGTTTCATAAAACAGATATATGGTTTAGTAGACTTATAATCATGCTTTCTGTAAAATAATACAGTATTCAATTTACTTTTTTTTCTCCATAAATTGAAATCAGAGCTGGGTTGATTTAAATCAGTTGATTTTTTAAATTTTAATCAACTTGATTTTTAAAATAAAAATCAGTGATTTAAATCACTTTTAAAAAATGTGTTCAGTTTTTACATATTTAAACATTCAGAATTCCTTGCCTTGGTTTTATTAAACAGATATAAGGTTTACTAGACTAATATAATCATGCTTAAAAGTCTGCTTTCCCCCTTGTCACTAAAATAATACAGTGTTCAATTTACTTTTTTTTCTCCCAAAACTGAAATCAGAGCTGGGTTGATTTAAATCAGTTGATTTTTAAAATTTTAATAAACTTTATTTTTAAAATAAAAATCTGTGATTTAAATCACTTTTTAAAAAATGTATTCAGTTTTTACATATTTAAACATTCAAAATTCCTTCCTTGGGTTTATCAAACAGATATAAGGTTTAGAAGACTAATATAATCATGCAAGTCTGCTTTCCACCCTGTCACTGTAAAATAATACAGTATTTAATTTACTTTTTTTTTCATTTATAATTGAAATCATGGTTGGGTTGATTTAAATCAGTTGATTTTTAAAAATTTTAATAAACTTGATTTTAAAAATAAAACTCAAGTGATTTAAATCACTTTAAAAAAAAATGTATGCTGTTTTTACATCTTTAAACATTCAGAATTCCTTTCCTTGGTTTTATAAAACAGTAGTAGACTAATATAATCATTCTTAAAAGTCTGCTTCCCCCCCTGTCACTGTAAAATAATACAGTATTCAATTTACTTTTTTTTCATAATTGAAATTAGCATTTTCTTTTTCTTTTTAGACAAACACAAGTGCGCACACTCACACACACACTGTAATAAAATGCAAGTTTATCTATGCATAATTACCCCCCCCCCCTTCCTTTTAGACTGACATTTTATTCATTTTTTGTCTTTAGCCATAATTCACTGATAGATCTATAGCAGATTAAGGCTTTCTTTTGCAGTTGCTTAAATTAATCATTAGTTAAAATAAAGACAATGCAATTTGCACTAAAAGAACATACTTTTAGCCACCAAAAATCCCGAACTGTGTCAACATTTAAAAAAAAAAGAAGAAAAAAAAATCCGATTTAAACCAAAAAAATCTGATTTAAAGAAAAAAATCGATTTTTAAAATTTTTATTTAAAAAAAAATAAAAAAATCACCAACCCTGTACTCCTCATCAGTATATATTTTCCCAATGTCTGTTTTCATGTTCTCTCATTTTTATTCTTATACCATGAGCTCACTTGTTGTTTTTGTCCCGGGTGCCTGCCAGTACCTGGCCCAGGTGATTGTGTGGCAGAACACCTGCGAGAGTCTCAAGATCCCCAGTGGCATTGAGGAGTTGGAGGAAGCTCTGCAACAACACCAGAACCTGATAGAAACAATCAGCCAAACTTACGCTGAGGTGAGGAGCATGTTGTCATGGTTCGTGTTTAGACTCATGACCTGTGACTTCGTAGAATGTGGGTGGTTGGCGGGTGTTCTGGTGTGGTTTAGCTCCTTCTTTCCTGTCAAACATCTATCGTCTTTATCTCCCCTTATTCTTTTTTGTGTTTGTTACTCTCTTGTAACACCTCTAATCTTCGGCACTTATATGACTTATTTGTGTTGCAAGTGCCGTAAAACTCTTACTAAAACTGAACTTTGCAGAATACTTGTAGTTGGTTCTCTTTTATGTCAGCCAAACTTGCGCTGAGGTGAGGAGCGTGTGGTTAGGTTTCGTGTCTGTTCTTGTTACCTGCGGCTTTGTAGAATACTTGTAGTTGGTTCTCTTTTATGTCAGCCAAACTTACACTGTCGAGCTGCATGTGGTTTGGATTTGTGTCTGTGCTTGTGATGTGTGAATTTATGGAAAACATGTCTTCAGGTATCCTTTTTTATCGGCCAAACTTTCCCTAAGATGAGGTGCAGGTGATCCGGTTGATACCTGCTCATTGAACTCCTAAAGTCATAATATATTCATTATGTATTATTGAAATGAGTTGCTGAAAATGTACTTGGTACAGTGATACTGGGGATACCTAGATGAAGTGAAAGTATCTATTTTCAAATTTTTTCCTGCATGTTGTGACACATTTGTCTCCTTCTGTGTTGACCAAAAGGTGTGTGGTGACGGTAAAGCCCTGCTGGATACCCTGCAAACTCCGGTCACCTCCAGTAGCGCCAACTCCATCACTGCCAAGGCGGATTACTCTGAGGCTGCAGGTCATGTCCTGGACGTGGTGCATGAGGTGGGTTGTCTACCCTGCTAGTTTTTATAGTCTCCGCATGTTGGGGGAAATTGTTTCTGTTGTGTATTAGATTTACCAATACACAGAACAGCCCGAGATCTTCTCTAAACGGCTGCTGACCACAAACTGATTCATTCGATTTTTTAAAATCTGTTGTTGCTTCTGGCGCTGGGCATAGGCAGAAAAAGCTCTTCCTCCCAACTTGTTAGACTTTTATTGTGGGCACTCTCATGAGATTCTTATCCGCAGATCTCAAATGTCTCGATAGTTGACTCTAAAAGTTCTTTAAGATATTGTGGTGTTCATGCACTTGTGACACAAAAGAGCAATTTTTGTAATTGATTCTAGCTTTAACTGGTAACCAATGTAACTTAATCCATGAAAATGTGATGTTTTTTTTTTTTGGTGAAGATCAATATAACCTATTTGTATTGCAAGTGCTGTAAAACTCTTTATAAAAAACTACAACTATTTGAAGACAATAACGATTTTAAGATGCTTCAATGTTGTCCTCTCACACAAACCATTGTCCCCTCAGGTGCTAGCCCACCAGCGTCACCTGGAGCAAATCTGGCATGGCAAAAAGGTGAAGCTACACCAGCGGCTAGGGCTGAGACTCTTTCAGCAGGATGTCAAACAGGTGAGGGAAACGCTTGTGCACTGGTTAGGAGAACCACTGCTCTAGAATGTTTCCAAATTCCTGAGATACAGTCTAGCATGCCCATAGCGAAATTAGGTGGGACGCAGAAATCTTTTTTTTATATAGGCCTACAAAGTTTGCTATGCATATGTTAAGAAAAAAATTCAGGACTTGAAAATCTGTTCGCTGTATGCATGTTCGTTATGTGTGTTCTAGACTGTATCTTGTGATTTGGAAATAACCAAAGACCTAGTCCAGCCATTTTGTTCCTTGTCAGCCTTGATTTTAATGGATTTTTGTTGTTGTTTTTGGTGTCTGGATGTCTGCCATGTTGTCATGGTTCTTTTAAATTTGCCTTTATTCCAGTAGGCTCTGAAAATCCTTCGTACCCCCCCTACAGTTTGCCTCTCATAGAGTTAAGATAAAGATACTGATTTAGAGGTGTATGATCTCTCAACAGTGTTTTGGACGTGAATGTGCAAGTGTATTTGTTACTGTTGTGACTGACTGATGTGCTAGTGTTTTTGTCGGTATGAGTATTTTTATATTTTGCTCCGACAAGTTGGGATTTCTGTGTTTTTGAGTGGTAGGGTTTCTTGTGAGGTTGGTTTTTTTTGCTACTTGTACATGTGTCAGGTCTATTAACATAGCTTTTTTTGTGTTTGTTACTCTCTTGTATCACCTTCTAATCTTTTTCACTTATATGACCTTCTTGTGTTGCAAGTGCCATAAAAGTCTTACGGAAAAAAATTCTGTATACTGATACTTTTTGGCCTGTGATATTCACCAGGTGATTGACTGGCTCAACAACCACGGAGATGTATTTCTCAAGAAGAACACGTCCATTGGCAAGTCACTGCAGAGAGCAAAAGCTTTGCAGAAAAGTCATGAACACTTTGAGTCTGTGGCAAGGGTGAGTCTCACTGTGTCTGTTGTAATGTGTCTCCGTCTTCTTTTAGTACTTGTTATTTATTTCGTCCCATGAGAAACACTGATAATGTGGGTGGGTGGCAGGTGCTCTGGTGTGGTTTGCTTCTTCTTTCCTATCAAACATCTATCGTCCGTATCTCCCCTTCTTCTTTTTTATGTTTGTTACTCTCTTGTAACACCTCTAATCTTCTGGCGCTCATATGACTTTATGCAGTTGCGAGCGCCGTAAAACCTCAACTAAAACTAAAACACTGATAATTTGCAAATCCTCTGGAATTGTGCTTTGTGTATTAATCATTCTCATCTTTCTAAAACATCCTATCAAGATTCTTTTGTACCTACATAACAAAATAATGTCTATAGAGCTGTGAAACAAGTGTATGAGTGTGTACGGCACTACATCAATAATTGTCCTGTTTACTGAATTCCACCACATGGAAACACACATGCACGCACATATACTCACTCACACACACTCACACATCCACAGATACACACGCACAATCATGCACACACATACACACACACACACACACACACACATACACACGCCCACTCAAACACACACACACTCTCACACACACTCACACAAGCACACACACAGGCACACACATACACACACACATTAACACACACGCACACACACTTTCATTCACATACACACACACACACACTTTCACTCACACATTCAAGGCCAAGGCACACACATAAGTGAAATGGACATTTAAATTTAATATCTTTGTATTAACCATTTTTCTCGGAGGTGACTGTAAGATTTGTAATGTTTTCTCCTGATGATTCTTGGTATCTATGGCTGTTGTACATATAATCATTTAGCTGGTCTTACTTTAAGACTGTCTTGTAGAAGTATGCCCCAAATCTTCCAGAGATGTCAGTTTTTTCAATATGTGTCACGACACGATGAAATCAGGGGCTCATCAATTTTTGGGCATATAGGTTATTCATATCTTCTTAAGCTTATTCATTTGCTTTGCATTTGACGAAAAAAAAATGCTCATTTAAGTCGAACAGAAGCTAATATATTTTCAATTGAAGATGGTGGGCACACTGATATGACCTATGCAGTTGCGAGCACTGTAAAACACTTACAAAAAAAAAAAGAGATGAAGGTGGAGGTCGCATGATATGAGAGATAAAATTAGCAAGGAAATGACTGCCAAAGTTTGGTGACTTTCAAAGTTTGAGTATCCTTGCGGAAACTAGAAATTTACATTTTTTTGGCCTTTAATGAACGTTTTTCGGTAACATTCACACCGAAATTCGTTTTTAAAAGGACATGAAGCGAAAAAAAGAAACCTGATTTTACCACACTGCCTCACATACAATAGCTCTTTTCATGATTTTTCATGCAGTGACAGTTTTTTAAAGTCCCTTACGTCAGGGCTGTGTGGGTCTTAGACTTTGATACGTTCTTTTTGTACTTGTCCTCGTTTCTGTGTTCCCACAATTGCTGTTCAGGGAATGAAATCTGTGGAAGCCTCAGCTTTTCTTCTTATTTAGCTCCTTGAGCAGCGAGTGTTTGGTGGATGCTCTGGACGTATCTTGTGCGTCTTTTCAGTGTTTTTGATTACAAACTCAGTGGCATGAAACAAAGAGCTGGCATATCTGATGACCTTTGTGTGTGTTGTTGTTTTTCTCCTTAGCGCTGCCCTTTACTCACTTTGATGTAAATGTCTCCTCTGCTGCTTGTGTCTCATGTGTCTTTGAAAATATTGTGGAAATCACCCTCTCTGGACACAGATTCTTTTCCTACTCATCTCGTTGGCAAGCTGTTAAAATTGACTATGCCCTAAAAGCAAGATTTTTAGGGAGAGAAAAAAACTTGTTTCATTCTTTGAAAAATGTGTACCTACGTAGGTGGTTGGCGGGTGCTCTGGTGTGATGTACTCCTTTTTTTCTATCAAGTGTCTTTTGTCCTTATATATCTCTTCTCCTTCCTTTTTGTGTTTGTTACACTCTTGTAAGCAGGTGGTTGGAGGGTGCCACTGGTAGGTTCTACTTTTTAACTTTCCGTATGCTGTTTATGTCTGTCTGGCTTACTTTTTTCCCAGGTCTAGATCTAAATGACCATTATTGTCTCAATGTGCTTTTTGTTACTCAATCAAACAAACAAACCCTCTTGTAACACCTCTAATCTTCGGCACCTATATGACTTTATTGTGTTGCAAGTGCCGTAAAACTCATTGTTAAACAAACAAACAAACAAAATAATGTTGAGAATTTGACTTTCGATAAAACACTTCTTGAGCACATACAACCAATACGGCAGATTAAGAAACTGCTTTGATGGAGACCCCTAACGTGCGTAGTTGATCAAGTAAGTTGGACATGGAGGGCTCAAGTGGAATTTTACTAATTCTCTCTTCCTCTCTTTCAGTACTCTGTTCCACATTGAGTGGATGGTTGGCAGGTGCTCTGGTGTGGCTTGCTATTTTCCTATCAAACATCTATCGTCCTTAACTTTTTCTTCTTTTGCGTTTATGCTACTCTCTTCTTGTAACGCCTCTAATATTCGGCACTTACTTGACCTAATTGTGTTGCAAGTGCCGTAAAACTCTTACCAAAACCCCCCCCCAAAAACATAAGTTCCTCATTATACTAACGTTGTGTCATAATATATCGTAGCGTTTGAAGGAGAAGTAGGACCAGACAAGGAGACGCAATTGTGTGTGTTGTAGCGGTTGGGCGCTTTGCAGTGGCACGTACACAACAGGAAACCCGAGTTCGATTCCCGAGTGGGGAACATTTTTATCGAGTACCTCGGTCTTTCTGCTGGGATGATAATTGTATCCGTCTCAGCCTGGGTTGGTCTTGACAAGGAGGGTCGAATCCCGCCTCCTAAATTATCTAAATTCTGTCATTGAGGGTGTAAAATACACCTAACATAAAAAAAAAAATCACCCGCCAACCACCCGCTTGTCATTTCTGCAGCGATCTGACTGAACTGTGACCCATCGTCGTAA